GAGAGGCTAAGAGCCATCTGAGGTTTGGGACAAGCCTTTTCCATACCTGAGTAACAGGAAAAGTAAAATCTCCTTAGAGTTATGAGTAAATGAAACGATGTATGTAAAGTGCCTCACAACATTTGCATGAGTGCTCATTAACTGTGGTGGTGATGACCTGTTTCAGTCAGTGTCTTTCTTACCGAGCTCTCTCATCACCTATAGAGGAACTGCTTCTCAGTTATGTCATCACACTCTCATTACAGGGTCCCTAGGTGATCAGGGCCGATCGGGGCCTTCCAGCTGCCGGCCAGGGCCTTCTTTCGTTCTGCGCCACCCCCTGGTGGTCAGCATTCGTCATAGTGAGCAATCGAACTCCTGGTCTCCCGGTTGAACTCCTGAGGGGACACTTTGCATATTAGCCTTTTATATAGAGAGATGTTTGGGGGTCAATGAGAACTTATTCTAAGCTGAGCACTTAGAAAGTATGTACTCATTCCAGACAGAGAAATGGCTGACTGGCTCAGTCAGGAAGTCAACAAGATGGAAGAAGATGAAGTGGGAGTAGAAATCAGTCAAGAAGTGGGGCCAGGCCAGTGTGGCTCAGTAGTTGAGCATCCACCAGAACCAGGAGGTCATGGTTTGATTTCCAGTCATGGCACATACTCAGATTGTGGGCTCAACCCCCAATAAGGAGGGTGCAGTAGGCAGCTGACCAATGATTCTCGCTCATCGTTGATGTTTCTCTCTCTCTCTCTCTCTCTGTCTCTCTCTCTGTCTCTCTCTCTCCCTCCCTCTCTCTCTCTTCCTCTCTCAAATCAATAAAAATGTATAGAGCGTCGGGTGGAGACCACAAATGGAGCTTTGAGAATTTGATAGTCTACCAGTGTACATAATTTCTGCCTAATTATGTACATTATTCAGCAAAAATTAGGTCATCATAGTTGAGGTATATGTGTGCTATTTGCAGATAAGAAAAGGTGGTTTGCCGAAACCGGTTTGGCTCAGTGGATAGAGCGTCGGCCTGTGGACTGAAAGGTCCCAGGTTTGATTCCGGTCAAGGGCATGTACCTGGGTTGCGGGCACATCCCCAGTGGGAGATGTGCAGGAGGCAGCTGATCGATGTTTCTCTCTCATCGATGTTTCTAACCCTCTATCTCTCTCCCTTCCTCTCTGTAAAAACTCAATAAACTATATATTAAAAATTAAAAAAAAAAAGGTGGTTGTATTTTCTTAAAAAGTATTTCGCAAGAATGGTTTTAAACATATCTACTTATCCAGTTACACCTTTGAATAAAAACCTGCTTTTAGCCAGAAAGTTTGGCTCAGTGGTTAGAGCATTGGTTCTCAGGCTGAAGGATATTGAGTTTAATTCCCGGTCAAGGGCATGTATCTCAGTTGCAGATTAGATCCCCATCCCAGTCAGGGCATATGTGGGAGGCAACCAGTTGATGTGTCCTTCTCACATGGATGTTTCTCTCTAACCACCCCTCCCCCCCTCACCCAATCACTTTCACTGTCTCTAAGAATCAATGGGAAAAGTATCCTTGGGTGAGAATAATAATAAAAAAAAAGGGGTTTTGGTGTTTTTTTAAAATATGTGATAAGGAAATTGCATTTTAGGAACATTCATGGTTTTTTTTTTATCTTATTTCAGGAACTGAACCGTTTACGAAAGGCTGCCCTGGCCTTTGGTTTCCTGGACCTGCTCAAAGGGGTGGCTGACATGCTGGAAAGGGAGTGCACGCTGCTGCCTGACACCGCCCACCCCGATGCAGCGTTCCAGCTGACCCACGCTGCCCAGCAGCTCAAGCTGGCCAGTACCGGCACCTCCGAGTACGCTGGCTACGACCACAACATCACACCTTTGCAGACAGACTTCTCCGGGAGCAGCACTGAAAGAATGTAAAGCTGACTTTGGGAGCCTTCCTTCCTTCTCATTTTAAGTCCAAATGATTTCGGGTAAAAACTTCTCCAGGGTGTTCACCTCTGCAGCCACCACCTGAAGACCTCCCTCCGAAGCACCCCTTGCTGGTTTGAGTGACTGCAACAGTCCGAGAAGGACTTTGACCTTCGCTTTCTAAGCTCTTCCAGCCCAGAAGACACCTGTGGCTCCCGTGATGGGTACATCTTCTGAGGAGCTTGATGGTGTGATGGGTACAGAGCTCTCTCCCTTCCTCAGGAAACCTAACCCACAGGGATCCTCTGGCTTTCTGGAAGGCATCTTCTCTCCTCTCAATCATAAGGACATTTTCAAGATTCTGCCCTTGGAATGAGCAACCCAGACTGGGACTAGCTAAGGACAAGCCCTGCACCACTAAGTTTCGGAACTTTTCTTAGAACTTGGGCAAAACTTAGTGGTAACACTTAGGTGCTTTTGGTATGTCTTGAGATACAGACTTTTAAACAGCAGCCATAAATGTAAAAAATTATTCCCATTCAAGTTTTGTTTTTTAATGAAAAAGTATTTGACTTTCTATAAAATGGTTTCACTGATAAATTAGTGAGTCTTTGTCTTTTGGTCTGTCCTGTCTGGATATGATTTCAGCTTTCTGTGCGGCAGATTCATAAATCATGAGGGTTTCTTGGGTTCCATACTGACTTCTTTGTGTCTGACACCTGTTAGGCCTCATTGCCGACGCCGTTCCATTCAGGTAGATTCTGACAGGTCACTGCAGTTAGCTCCCCTTCCAATTCATCAGCTAGCTTCATGACATTGGGCAGGTCCTGTAGCTTCTCTAGGTTTTATTTATATTATCAGTGCTTTTCAAATTGCTCTGTGGACCACCTAAAGCAGCGGTCGCCAACCAGTGGTCCGTGGACCACCGGTGGTCTGTGAGGTCCGAAAGGTTGGCGACAGCTGGCCTAAAGTGTTACTCCCTCAGGCTTCAACCTGAGCATCTACTTTTGGTTTAACATGCTATATAATATTAACTGCTATATAATATTTTGTCTGGAAAAGGACTTTATCACTAACAATTTGAAGACCATTGGAGTAAATAAATGATCTTTAAACACAAGTTAGGATTTTGACTGTAAATATTTAATAGAAATACACAATCTTTTGCTTTCTCAGACAGCAACAAAAAGGCTTGTAAGAATGTAAGATTCTGCCACAGATGCAGTATAATCTGCTGCAAAGCTAATCTGCAATAATTACACACAGAAACTCAGGTGAAAGAATATCAGAAGTTAATACAAACAAGTATTGACAGAAGTTACAGACATGCAAAATATCCTTCAGTGCAATGAACTTGTAAAAAAAGTCAGCCAGCCTATGCTAATCATAGGTTTTTAGGTCAAACCAAGTTTCAATCTTGGGCTCAGAGAAACAGCATAGCTCATGTAGTCCCTTTTTCCTCAGGAACAATGGGAATGGCACAATTGAGCAATCGTGCCTTAAATTCTTTCATACAAGCATTACTTCTAACACATTTTGCTTGGAATGTGGAAGAAACTGATGTTTTTGACAATGGCCAAACTTCATAATGCCTACATTTTTTCCAGTTCCTCTGTTGGTGGGTTTCCTACCAGGAGTCTGTGTTAATGGACCAGCTGGTGATTCTCTAGCCAATGTTCTCTGTTCACTGTCCTACTCCAGAGGTGAAACAACAGCAGAATAAAAGGTGTTTTGAGGTCTACTAAAAAACAAACAACCCCACCACTTACTCTGACAGGCACACAAATGGACTTACCCCGGTCAGGGGAAAGAAGCTGGAGTTGTTTAGGTTTGTGCACAGCCTAAGGCAGTTTTGCAGGTGCGTTTAGACCTACTCTAGTGTTTCCAGTTTGCTACAGGCTGCACTACAGGCAGCTGTCTTGTGGCCAGTGTGACCTTTCTGACCCCTGTAACCATTTGGGATTGGAACTCCTATAATCTCATTATTTACTAACTCATGTTTCATCTTTCTTTAAAGTTGAAAATAGTTCTGATTTATCTTGGAATGAAGTAAGTGATCATGGTGTTCCAAGGTTCTGACTGGTTTCTCTCAAATCATTCTGTGTCCACACAGGTAAGCACTGTATAGTAACAGATATTGTTAGAGAGGCCAAGAAATTCAGAGGTAATATGAGTTCTCAAGGCCCACCTGGACTCAAATGTTTTATCAGTGACTGAGTCCAACAGATTTTCAAAAATCAACGCCACTCCACTTATTAAGTAACCCTTTGGGTACAGAATATATTAAGTCCTGCCTAGGTCACTTTCACAGGCTCTGATAGAGCAAAACAGTCTTGTTTTTCTTCCACAATCAATAGCTGAAAAGAACAAATTCCAGCTGTAAGAATGGCCAGTACCTAGTAGGTCCAGGGCACTGATGAAATCTCTGGCTTGTGTAAAACAGACTGGACATGGAGTGGGTGGGGACAGGGCTGTCTGATGTCACTAACAGATTACAAAAGAACAAACCTGTCATCAGATATCATGCAAGTACTACACTAAGATAATACAATAAATTCAGGATGTAACTGGGGAAAGGGGAAGATAGCCTTACTGAGAATTTAATCATTTAACGTTAAAAAAAAAAACTTTTACATCAGTACAAGAAGGTAAAACTGTAAGAATTATGGATTAGGCTCAAAAGTCTACATGGCAAGAAGTCATCTAAATCTCTTTTCAGTGGATTTTCTTCTTTTTTTGTCCATAGTGCCGCCTGCGCTGTTTATAAAGGTGACGGAAATTTATGTATAACCCTGAAAAAGAAAAGAGGCCAATTAGACATGAGAATCTTTGTCCTGCTTATAACCAGAAGCTCTTGGGCAGGGACAGTCTAGGTTGGCTGTTTTTCATACCCCTCTGCTTACTGCAGCTGCTCAGGAAGTACGATTCAGTAACAAGTTAGTAACAATGCACTAGAGACCACTCAAATTTCTCCCAGTGGGTTTACAATTTCACTTTCTCCCATATTTTATTATAAAAATTTTCAAACATACAAAAAAGATTAAGTTGTTGTACAGTAAATGCCATCTAGATTAAACTTTAACTCATTACATTTTTTATCACATCTTCCCATCTAGTTTTTTATATTTTTCAGTAAAAGTTACAGACATCAATATCCCTAAACATTTCCTTAGAGTTCACAATATTTTTCTCCCAATTTCTTTTCAAGTAAGACTTACATAAAATACACAAATCTGAAGTATAGAAACGACCCAATTTTTAATTCAAGGCTATGCAATAAACTGTATTAAGCAATAGTATAAAAGGTGTGTGTGTGAGCGGGAAGTACTAGGGGGTAAGAACACATATGTAATACCTTAATCAATAAAGAAATTAAAAATAAAAGGTGGGGGATACTTTTCTAGGAAGCACAATCTTCTGATTTAGAAAATACAGGATTTCAGCCCAGCCAGCATGGCTCAGTGGTTGAGCATCAACCTATGAACCAGAAGGTCACCGTTCAATTCCCAGTCAGGGCACATGCCCAGGTTGTGGGCTCAATCCCCAGTATGGAGTGTGTAGGAGGCAGCCAATCAATGATTCTCTCTCATTTTTGCTGTTTCTATTTCTCTCTCCCTTTCCCTGACTCTCTGAAATCAATAAAAAAAAATATTTTTTAAAAAAACAACACAGGATTTCAGTCAGAAAGAACAAATTTCAGTTCTACTTCATCACTGTGGCTTAGCCTCACTTCAGTTTCCTCATTGTGCAGCAGAGTTAAGAACACTTACTTTACAGACTGATTGTGAGAGAACATAGGTTTAGAAAAGCACTTTGATCTATATACAAATGTAACTGGTTGTTATTACTGCTTCTAAATTATGCAGATTTCGGATTTATTTCATTATGAAGAATAAGAACAACTGCATATTCATTGTAGGCAAACTAGATATGAGTATAAAACCTTAAAAATTAGAGTGTACAACATAAGCAACATGAAAAAAGCAACTAAGGTTAGTGCACATTAAAATACTTCTACCTTTCTAACTTCTTTAGTAAAATATTTTAAGGTCTTTCCAATATTTATTCCACTTTAACCCTTTCAGTATGCCCACCTCGTGGAGCATAATTACAGTAATAGGTTTATCCAGTAACAGAGGTTAAGAGCTATTAATAAGTGCATTTTCCAAACTGAAGCTTATTCCCTTCAACTGCCCAACTATTTTAACACTTTTGGTTAGAAATCTTTCTGAAATGTATTACACCTTTTCTGAAATAGAAAATAAATGGAATAAAATTTAATCTTTAGCAAATGACCTACACCCATAAGTTGTACTATTAACTGTGCTTCTGCCATGTACGCTATCCCGAAGTGTAGGTCTCTTCTCCCTGATACTAAATGACCAAGACCGCTGGACTTTCTGGCTTCTTGGGTTTACTTTTTGTGGTCTTCCTCTCAGTGTCTGTGGTAGCCACCCTCCAAGATGGTCCCAGTGATCCCTACACCTCTTGGTATTTCATACCTTTGTGTAGTCCCCTCCCACACTTTACTAGGTAGGTCTAATGTAACCAACAGAATATGGAAAAAGTGACGGTATGTCACTTCTGCGATTAGGTTATAAAAGTGTGGAAATAGAGGTGCTATTATCACTGCAATGGCAATCATATTATAATGTATAGATGTATCAAATCAATATGTTGTACACTTTAAGTTTATACAACATGTCGAGCATATTACAATCAAAAATTAAATAAGTAGATAAATTTTTTAAAAGGCAGTGTGGCTTCTGTCTCTCAGATCACTTGCTCTGGGGGAAGCCATGTCATGAGCAGCCACAGGGAGAAGTACTGCAGCTAGAAACAAGCTTTCTGTCCACACCTCCGTCAGTGAGCTTGGAACAGATCCTCCAGCCCCAGTCAAGCCTGCAGAAACTAGCACCAGCTGAGCTGACCACTTGACTGAAACCTCATGAGGGACCCTGAGCCGGGCCATCCAAGTGGGCTGCTTCCTGACCCTCAGAAACCATGTGAGAGAATAAATGTTTGTCATCTCAGACTGCTAAATTCTGGGGTAATTTGTTAGACAACAATAGATGCCTAATATACCATCTTGCTGTCACATCCCGTTACTCGGACACCAGAGAGCCGTACTTATTTAGGGCCACCTCAAGACTTTTGTGAACTAAAGCAGGGATAAATACACAAATTATGTTAAAATGTATTAGAACTTTATCTAAAGTAAATAGTCTTTATAGTTAGAAAGGCTTACAAATCATATTTGCAATAATTTAGGTTTACATATTTTCCCTTCTTTTAGTTTTTATGAATTAAGGCAAAAATTTATATTTTATATAAAAGTAAATTAATAAATAAGCAAGCAGGTTTTACATGAGGAGCAGGGAAGCCTCCTATTGTTAGGCAGAAAGCTTTATGACATCTCTTCGCTGTTTTTTCTTCTTGCTACCAGTTGTATTACCACTGCTGTAAACTCTGGATAAGGAATGTGCTACTGAAATTAGTATAAGTAAAATGAGCTTCTTATTCTATTTTAAAAGAGCTTCTTACATTGTTTTAAACATAAAATATATTATGGTGAGTTCCCAATGACCAAGGAAGATAATC